ATTTTGGTTAAAGTTTAAGTTAGGTCCCTTATTTGCATTTGTCCAAGTTCGAGTTCGAGTTCAAAACAAGTTTTCTGCAGTTCATTTAGTTCAAGTGTGGTCCACTGCATTATTCACTGGAGTTTCAAATTGAGTCTCAAGTCCAAGTCCTTTGGTTCAGTGAAAATTTTGGTTGTCTCCCTAGTTTAGGGAAAACTACAAAAAATTGGGCCTCCCGCCATGCTAGATAAAAGCGTGTACGGTAGGTGTCCTCGAACACCGCAGCCGTGAAATATTCAATCCCACCACGCCAGAGAAAGGCGTGTATGGGTCTTCGGTACCTGTTGCAAAAGAAAAGTTATTTTTTCCCCGCAGAAACAAAGTCGCGTTCGAATACTTAAAAGTTGTCCCAGTCACGCTAAGAAAAGCGTGCACCGGGCCTACCCGCCTCGTCGTAGGTGTCGCACCGGTTTCCCTTCCCACCACGCTAGAGAAAAGAGTGTATGGGAGGTTTTCCGGCTCGACACAAACGTCGAATACGGAGTTTTGAGAGTTATACCTTGGAATGGAGACGGCCGACCAAGACCAAATAGTAACATAACATATATAGATATTATATATGTACATATATATAATATATACATATATATATGGTCGGCAGTCCTCTAACTCCCTAAACTCCAAACTCCGCATATATATATATACTAATGACATTATAATGATAATAATATAAAATAGTAGTAAATACTTATAATACGTCATTAATACTAATATATATCTAGATTACCTAGACTAAGCTCGGGTAAGGAGGAGATAAGCTCGGGTAAGGAGGAGATAAGCTCGGTTTGGAGAGGTTCTGCTGCAGTAGAGGTTTCAGCCTATGATTACAGTGGGTCCGACATTGACGGGGTAGAGAGACGTCTGAGCATGTGAGGTCTTGCGGCTTGAGTAAGGCGACTGGAGCTGAGGAAGATTAATGGAGTTCAGATGGAGGGAATTGGGACTTCGGTTCGGTTCTAGGGAAGTCAGGCGTCGTGTGTGGTGAAGTCGACCAACAACAAAGGGGCCGGAGAAGTACGCGAGAAGGAGAAAGTTACATTCACAGCAAGCGAAGCTCCCACCCTTGCTTCCGATCAAAGTGTATGAACTTTCGATTAAACAGGAAGGGAAAGTCGTTGTAGGAGTGAAGCCGAGCAACAAGGATGGAGGTAGGGTTTGGTTCTCTCTCTCTCTCTCTCTATCTATCTATCTATCTTCTTGTGTGAGAGGTCGGCACAAGCAAGGAATGACAAGAGGATGTCGACGGAAGTTAGAGGAGGCGAGTTGTGGAGTTCGGAAATGACAGAGAGGAAAATGTGAAAGCTTCGTTTGGTTGTTGTATTTAACGACTCGATCGATCTTCTCTCCACACACGGGAGAAGTGACTTGAGCGGCGCCGTTGCAGAATGCGGATAAAAGCTATAGCAGCGGGATTTTGACAGAGAACATGGGATGGGCATGGGGTATGTAATGATTCACCTCTTTATATATATATATATATATATGATATTTTTTGTTCTGACTAGATGGTCAACATCTATGATGACGAAAAATTCTTTATTAAAATAGAACAATACCAGTATGCCACAATTTCTAGATTAAAATGAATAACA